CCTAAACCCTAAACCCCAAAAAAGAGCAAAGCCCTAAACCTAAAGCCTGATCCCTAAACCCCCCCAAAAAAGCAAAACCCCAAACCCTGCAGCTTCGGGCCTGGAGTGTCGCCTCCTCCTGCCTGACACTTCGAGCTTCAAAGGTGAAATCTCGAGAACCATACTTGAATACTTGTTTTGGGGACCTGTTCCTTAAGGGAACCATTATGAAATTAAAGTCTACACTTTTTTTCTCCCTGGCTACTTCAAAGTCTAGATCTCTCTCAAAGACTTCTAGAAGGAGCTTGCAACATAATATAGTTCTAAGAGGGGTCTATAAGGATGAGCTCAGAGCCCTAATCGGAAACCCTATAAGCAATACATCCCTTCAGAGCTGGAAGTTTGAACGGCGTCTGGCCATGGACAAAAAAATTGCAAACTGCGTCGGTCGTGGGAGCCGACAACCTTGGTCTTGTCCCGGGTTTGGGGTTTAGGGGATTCCTGTGCGGGCCGGTATCCGTAGGGTTTTAGTTTTTTTTGCCGGTCCAAGTGCTGGGTACTCATATGCTCCCCGGGGCAATTGAGTACTTTCAGCCGTGTCGGGGAAGGGGTCTAGAGTCCATTTCCCTATACAAACCCTACCCTAAACCCTAAACCCTGAACCCTACACCGTAAACCCTAAACTACATTGTCTTTGTCAGAGCAGCAAACCCGAATCCACGTTAAATCCCAAACACTGTTGAAGCTTTAAAGCGCGACATTGCAAAACCCTAAACCCTAAACCCTATCCCAAATCCTTACGAGAAGCCCTGCACACCTTAAGCTGTCCCAAAGTCTAACCCTTAACCTGAAACCCGATTTCAACCCTTGTAGACCCTTAGCCGTATACCCGAAACCCAACTCAAAGCCAACACCACCCCAAACCCCAAACCCTAAACCTCTAAACCCCTAAACCTAAACCCCTAAACCCTAAACCCCTTTAAAGATCCCACAAGGAAACCTTACAAAGGACCCAATCCCTGATTTCCGGATAGCCAGGTGCATGGCTCGACTCTTGGCAGAATTAGCGCCAGATTTCGGGCCCCGCAGCAGCGTTCAGGGCTTCGGGTTTGCCCAAACCCCAGGCCCTACTCCCTGAACCCTAAACCGCAAGGGTCCAAAGGACCCAAATTTAATTAGGTACTCGGGTTTGGGATAATACCTATGTAGGTTGCTATTTTGGAGAATATATGAGAAGGACCCTTAGGGAAACCTAAAGCCTAGTTGCCCCTAGAGTCTTCAAGTGTGTCCCAAGACTCCAGTGTATGCAGGTTCACACTTTCTGACTATAAATGCTAAACTGTAAACCCTAGACCCCAAGACCCCAAGCGTTGAAATCTAGCAACCCCAAACCCTCAACACCCAAAGACCTGAAGGGCCACAGCGGCCGGCACGGCCGACGGAGGCCTGCCCGGAATGGCTTTTAGGGTTTAGGGTTTAGGGTGTCTATGCAGGTTTACAGTGAGTTAATTTGTTTTTTGGACAGATCTTGGAGATTGTTGTTGTCCTGCTTGCAATCTAGGGTTTTCTTAGTGAGGTTTTGTGGTAGGGATGTACAGGGTGTGATATATAGAGTTGGAGAGGGGTGTTATGGACATGGAGGTTTGTATGGTTTGGTGATATCATGTGAGGATCTTCAATGTGGTCTTTAGAAGGTGATTTATCGTCTGGGCCTTCATCAAACTTTCCAGTTTATTATATGTCCGAAACCCTAAACCCCAAACCCTACCAGGACGGAGGGGTTTGTTTAACGTGCTCCGTGATTTCTATGTCAGCAACAAGGCCAAGGCTTGAAGCAGACACTTGCTACACTTACGATCTCGGAGGTTCGAAGAGAACTTGATCACATGCGTGGCAGGGGTTTTGGTTCGACCCTTGAACCCTAAATTCCTAAACTCCTAAACCCTTAATCCTAGTCCGCTGAACCCTACACTTCTGGCCTGCAGGTCCAAAGCATGTGCAAAGCATAGGTCTAGACCCTCCGATAATGGACCCTAAGCCTTGAACCCTAGACCCTTGCAGCAGCCTTCTACAAGCCCTATAGATCCCGAGAAAAGGAACCCCAAACCTTATGCCCTAAGCTAGAAGAACCCCTGAACGAGCTTGAAGGAATCCCTAAACCCTAAACCCAATAAGATTCCTTTGAAGGAGGCGGCACCGTCGGAGATCAAGCAGCCGGACTCCCTGAGGGGGTTCTGTGTTCAGGGTCTAGGGCTCTAGGGTTTAGGGCTTGGTTCCGGGTTTAGTTCCTGCGATTGCTTTCTTTATGCGTTTCTTCCAAGGGTTTATGCGACTTCATACTTTAGGGTTGCGCACCCCAAGCCCTAAACCCTAAACCCTAAACCCTGATGTGCTTATGGATTAAAACTTCTGGGATTAACCGAAAGCCTGCTGAACAAAGCTACCAGGAATCTCGAGAGGGCCGCCACAAGCCATTTGCCAGAAGGTTTCGGGTTTTAGGGTTTGGGGTTTTAGGGTTTAGGGTTTAGGGTTTAGCTGTCTCTGCACCCTTGTGAATACACTCTAAACGCCAAAGGCCCTCACATGAACAGAATTCAAACACCCTCACCTCAAGGTTCCTCAGCGCACCAATGCTTCAGAGGATGCCGAGAGAAAGCTTTCTTCGCTTAGATCCGAGATCCTAAACCCCAAACCCCGAACTCCCCAAGCCTTTAAACCCTGAACCTTTAAACCCTCTAAAACCCTAAGCCCGACACCCTTTACCCTAAATCCCCAAACCCCTAAACCCTGGACCCTTACACCCTAAGCCCTAAAACTCGAAACCCTAAACCCCTAAAATCCTAAACCCCTAAACCCCAAAATCCTAAACCCTAAACCCTACACCCCTAAACCCTAAACCTCGAAACCCCAAACCCCTAAACCCCTAAACCCTAAAAACCCTAAATCCTAAACCCTAAACGAAGCCGAGGCTATTCTCAGTCTCCAGAGAGGAGCTCCAAGCCGCTGTGATCGATTTATGCTAAAATGGGGTGGGGCGTTAGGTGTTTAGGGTTTAGGGTTTAGGGTCTGGGGTTTTGGGGTTTAGGGGGTTAGGGTTTAGGGGTTTAGGGTTTAGGGTCTAGGGTTCTGGGGTTTAGGGGTTAGGGTTTAGGGGTTTAGGGGCAGAAGTACAAGGCACAAAAGAAACAGTGGCAGTAGCCTTTACGGCTGTAATGTTTAAGGTTAAGGGTTCAAGGCTTTGGCTTTCAGCTTTGGGGTTGCGGCTGCCTTCGTGGATTGGCAGCTTTCCTCAATCCCGCAATACCATATAGTTAATCAAAGTACCCGGCCCTAAACTCAAAGCCCTGCAAACCGGCAGCCCCAAACCCTAAACCCTGAACCCTATTGAACCCTGTAAGACCATAGAGCCACATGATCCTGCTAAGAACCATTTAGCATTGTTCGGGCCAACGAACTCACCAACAAAGTCTTCTACTACAGCATGGGAACAGGGCTCGTCTTTGGTTCTTGGTGTTGGGGTGACATGATGTATATAGACGACATGGATGGACATGGTTCCGTTGTGCTGCCTGCATCACTGCAGACTATAATATACCCCAAAGCACTGCGATAGTCATGAAGGCCCTCTATTAGGGTTCCGGGAGTCAGGCATTTTGTCGTTGACGAGGCTGTGAACTTGGGGGGTTTTCTGTTGAACTCTACAAGACTCAGCAACCCTAAACACAAAGTCTCCGAGTCATGCTTTCCGGCTTTCTCGATGGTTTAGGATGGTTTAGGTTTTATGATCTCGCCCTAAAGCCCTAAACCCTTAAACCTAAAAAACCCTAAACTCAAAACCCTTAGACCCTTAAACCCTTAAAC